TCTTCATCCACGATAGACGCACTTAAACTCGGCATCGACTTCTCCTCCTCGTCGGGCTCTGAATAGGTCCATCATCTCCATAACAAGCGTGCCCACCTACTTCCACGAGTGTCATCTCTGGTAGCCTGAGATGATGCCTTCAACCCCTCAGGACGCCGCTTCAATATCATCTTCGGCCCGAGGGCTCTAGAGGGAAAGGTCGGCTTCCTGAGAACGAGACATGAAATGTTTATATCAACACTGAAGGACACGAGGAGTGTATAAAGTTATCAATACTTTCTATAAACAGCCTCTCACCTCTCCTGGGCATCGTCATCATCATCATCCTTCTTATTTCCCTCACTCGAAGACGACGACGATGACGTTCCGGAAATCATAAATGGGAAAACACTATTATAAAATATTTTCAGTCTCCAAAACCAGTCTCCTGCAGCCGTGTTGGTGATAGTGAAGAAATTATGGGGAAATTCTATCTGATTTTCCTACACGTTCTCCACCCTAAGTCACTTGTAAATTTCAGGGAACAAGTAAGTTCTCCAACCCAACAAAGCGAATTATAGAAACTCATGGACTGATCTCAGTTTGAGCACATCTGCTGGAAGGAAGCTCGGGAAAACTCATGAATCTTCCAACTGTGCGCAGAATACACATCTGAAAATATTTCCATTACAACAGTCACTACTCTTCCTCCTCTACCATATCTCTCTCGATCGCCGTGCACTCCTCAAGCCGATCTCGGATGAAGTTCGGGAGCTCCCTTCTGATCAATGACTAGATAGGCTCCCACCCCAGACTCAACTCATTGACGTGCTCAAAATCCATACATGTCAACGAGCTACATCGTGAGCTTTAAATTTACTCACTTGATGTACAATGGAGTTTCACGACCCGTTTTGCGTGAAGTGGCGACGTAATACTCCGTGAAAACCCCAATATTCGCGGTGATATACAGTAATCGTGGAATACTTTCATCAGTGTTTCTCATATCACTAGGGTGGTGAAGCTCCAATGAGCTCAAACGTAAAATGAGTTCTTTCCCTCGCAGCTACCTCAAGACCTCAGTGGCTCGTTCTACCCTTTCCCGTTTTCTTCCAATATCAACTTCGATCTCTCTCAACTCCGTATCAAGCTGCCTGATACTTCCTATAATTCCCTCAACTTCATCACCATCGTCAACCTATGCAAACCCTAAAGAGCTGCTGCGTTCTCTTACTACTACTTCATTTAGTAAATCAACCATCGTCGTCAACTTCCTTATTTTCCCTCTAGAAATATCTTCAACTTCACCAAGGTCGGATACAAAAAAGGCCCGTCGAGCTACCGTCTCTCGACACGCCTCCATATACCTACCCCGACACGACCTAAGACGTTTCTCCATAATTCCTGGGAGAGGAATTTCCATAAAGCCACGTTTTGAACTAACATCTTCAACTACGATCAACCATCATAAACAATTCTTTAATTTTCATATTGACTGTTGACTAGATGAATCACCACCGATGCGCTACAAATAACACCAAAGTGGATACAAATACTATTATATCTCCTCTCTGGCTGAACACAGGCTATATTTTCCAATGAGCAACTTCATTAACGTCTTATATTTAAAACCGTTTCATGCGTAATGCTCAAGCATCAATACGCTTCTCTCAAGTCCTTTTCCTAACCACCCTAATTCCTTTCCCTACTATCATCATCCTATGCTGTTTTACACGGTAGGAGCCAGCTAATAGCCCCTCCTAAGCGACTTCTAACACGTTGCTCTCATTCTTCTTCCTTTTCGCAACCATAACCTCCAATAGGTAACGACAGTTACTGTGATTTTATTCACATTTTAATCAACTACATAAACCTCCTCACATCTCGAGATCTTCCCAACGACTTTGCAACACGTTAGCCTCAGTCGCGTCCAACATACGTATCCTCCTGCCCGCCGTTTTGAGCTTTTCCGAATAAACTTCCGAGAGGCCTGAACCCAGCGACGATCCCCCCTAATTTTTGTCTCCACCAAAGATCAGGAAACCATACAGCTTTGAGAGATAGCATCCCCCAGGGTTTGATAACAAGGGGGTAAACGTTTTCAATGTGATGACATTCACAGTGGAAAATTCACAAAAAAGTTTTCCCGGCAACATTATAGGTTCCTCGATGATTCTCCAACAGGGATCAATCTATCTGAGAAATAACATCCCCCAGAAATCGGCAACAGATCGAAAAATGTTCCTCATATGCAGACATCCACATGGAAAACCAATCGAAGCTTTTGAAAATTCAAAATGAATTCCCCCCAAGAACATTATAGATTCCTAGTCTCTACTCTCACCTCCAATTCTCTCAATGGCTTCCCCCTGATGCCTTATAGCAACTCTCACTTCCCTCCACGACGATGCCAAGCCCTTCACCTGGAACCCCAAAACTAAGAATCTCCTCTATGATCAAGTCCTACCCTCTCGTCCAAATCACCCAACGATTTAACCAAATCGGACGAAATTACCCCCGTTGAAACGTTCTCTTTTGCCAACGACAACCTACACAGTACTTCTCCTCCCCCTATAGCCAACAGCCCTCCCAGCTACCTTCCAACGCCTCCATTAGCCTCTCTAGTGAACGTAGTGATAAACGCATTCACAATTCCACCAAAGATCGATTTCCCATCATCACCAGCAGCAGCAGCAGTAGCAGTCACTTCTCCATGTACCGCATCACGAGCTCTTTTGTATCTAACACGCAGTAACCTAAGATACGCCTCCCCAAGCCCTTCAACCTACTCACTTAATCTCTCCCATGAATATGTCAGAAATGTAATGAACGGCAGGAAAGACGCAAACTCCTCCTCAGCCGTCAGTCGCATAAGAAAAAGTTCCAAAACCAAACGTAGACCTTCTACCTCGGCAGCAGCGAATGAAGATACAACCTGTCGGATAATAATAATTTCATCACCATTGCATTTATCACTTCCTACTCTTTTTCTCGGCAACGGTGGGATAATTCTATCCGGAAAAGTTTCCACGAGACTTTTTCTGAGCCACAAAAAATCCGAAAATTTCCTTTTTACGTAGGAAATCCTCCGCTCGCCGTCCCTACTAAAAGTAGAGTCAATCTGAAGGATACAATTGTGCATAACAATACATCATTATCATCAGCGCCCTACGTCGTAAATGACCACTTGTGCCAGGCCTTCCCCAGCCGACGTAACGCCGGTTATTCTCACTTCAATGCTCCTACTACAGCCCTCCACATGCATAGAAAAAACAGGAATCTTCACTGTGCGCTCACGAGGAAATATCTTAGGTTCCCCAACGATTGATACAAAACAGGTCCACAACCATCAGAAACGTTATCATGCCTGCATCGGTTTCTTCTTGTCCGCCGGATCAACACTATCGAAACTAAGATGTAGAAAAATGCAACTAAATGAGATCTCTTCGAAGACCAACTTGATCTGCTCATCCTCCCCATGAGCCATCACGAGGTTCCTCGCGTCGCTTCCCCTCAGGCACGACTTGTCACCAGCATCACGCGGCTCCTGGTGGAGGATCGTTCGAACTACGTATCTGCAGAAAACAAGACCTATTTAACAAGCTTTCGTTCGAGAAACACTCTAAGAAATGTGAGGGGAATATATGCACTTTTGTGGGAATATATATTTGATCTCCTCAACTGAGCTCGTAAGTTTCCTCACGAATTCTCACCATATTCTGAAAATCCACACAATTTTCGGTAGAATTGTACAAAAACCAACGGTAATTTCCCAAAATTTCCGCATGATTTCCATATTTCTCGCAACGCATGTAGTTCACCATGTGTTGGTGACAATATGAAAATTCTGAGAGGAAATTTCGGGATTTTTTTTGGTTTCTGTACACTTGTACGACGAGAAATCATGTGAAAACTTCTATAATTAGAAAGTAACCACTCCAACTTAGCTGAGGAGAGCGAACATATATTCCAACACACCCTCCCCAATGTCAACCACATGTGTTGATTACAATATTAAGAAATCTTCCGGAAATGTGTACACTTCTCCCAATTCGTATATAAACTCCTATGAGTAGTGAGGGAAGTATTGAGCTCAGGTGAGGAGAGCGGACATATGTTCCAACACTCCCCCCCTCCTTACGTTTTCAAAGGCCCCATTCTGTACCCCAATGGTTGAACCTGTACGATATCTCCCAATCGACACTCGGAGTTCTCATCATGTGCCCATATCTACGATGAAGAATAGGAGGAGGAATCTTAGGTTCCCCCTAGGAAGATTCAAATGAGGTTGGTTTACCTTCTTCGTGTACCGAAAGGTCTTCTTATACCTCATGACATGCATGAAGCGATCGCAGAACACTCGGACACTTTTAGGGTGTTTATCGTTAACTACAAATCCTATCATCTCATTACCGGGCATCTTGTTCTTCATATCTAACACACGCAAGAAATGTACATGGGCAACTTCTGAGAGGAAATTTCGAATATCGAAATGTCTGATGGAAATTCTGAGAGTAAATTTCGGGATTTACTCCTTCGAGTTTGGGTAGAAGTGTACAGAAACCAACAAAAATTTCCCGAAATTTCCTCAGAATTTTCATATTGTCACCAACACACGTAGTTGAGAACGTGCATACTTTCCCACACTGGCTTCAATGTTTACTCTCAGAAGAAGTTAATACAAAATCATCATAATTACGTGCAACTCCACGATGTTATGACCGACACCAAGGCTCACGAGTTGACGAAGGAGTGGTATCACCAACAACAACAACAACAACAACAACAACAACAACAACAACAACAACACGAGCGTTGCCCACATGTTCGTAAATATCCAGCAGTCTGTCTCTGCCAGTACTTATAATGCCAATTTAATGCAGCCGTTGAGCGGACAAACATGGTGAAGTAGGGGAGCTTAAGAGAACTGAATTCCTCAATGTTCTCAACGGTAAACCAACTGTTACGAAAATCATCCATCCTCACACTGAGAGGCTCCTCGGCTGCTGACCTCTAGCATCTCGACAGATTCAACAAGATCAGTGATCATACAATTCGATCAGTTATACTATAGGGAGTTTCTGAACCTGAGTCCTTCCCATCATTGTAGTTGAACAGTAAGTTACCATCACTCATATTCTCCAACCCTCGTGACAGTAAGAACACTCAACACGATTCGAACAAAATTTGGTAAAGACGTTACTCGATAAGAGACCTCTCCCCTCATCCTCTTCCCTTCATTTCCTCATCAGCATACTCCACATACGACTGGGCCAACTCCGGTGTGATACGTGGTCTCACTCTAGACAAGCCTTCATCGATCAACTCTCGAGTTAATTCCATACTGCCCGACCTGATAGGATGAAAAGTTAAATAACGAAACTCACTTCGCTCCGCTGTTGACCTGTTCTCTATTTCCCTCCTGACTGCTACCATGCACGCCTCCTTCACCACAGCGACGATCTCAGCCCCACTATAGCCCTCTGTTGCCGAGACGAAATGATCATCTATATCATCATCGCTCACTGCATGTGGTACCTGCCCCCACCCAAGGTATCATAGGTCGATGACAGTAAGATACAAAACAGGCCCGAATGGAGGCCACCTTAGCTAGAGCTCCTCTCCATATCTTTCCTCGGGCATCGCTGTCAGGCAGGGGGACGTGGACGAGTCGATCGATCCTCCCCGGTCTCAGCAAGGCGGCATCCATCGCCCAAGGACGATTAGTAGCAGCTATCAAAACCACACCTGCAGGGAAATCCATACCACACCTCGCGTAGTTCGTCAGACCCTTACCCGCGCCAGCTTGACCACCAACTCCATCGAGCTCAGTGAGCAGCTGAGCCAGAACTCTATCGGCTACTCCTCCGCCTCCTGTCGCCCTAGAATAAGAAGGGATTCCGTCACGCGCCACGAAATTGCTCCCTTCACCTCTCCTGCCCGATGGCATCAACCTCATCAATGAAGACAACCGTTGGAGCAGCTTGTCGAGCCTTCCGGAAGAGGTCTCGGACCTTCGCCTCAGAGTCCCCGACCCATTTCGAAAACAACTCTGGACCTGATAAACATACCACTCCTCCTTCACCTCACGATCGGATGATTCCAACCACCTCCTATAGTGGATTATATACCACAATATTCACCCCGGATCCACATTACGAACAACTACGATAAATCCTCAATGGTTCGCTATTGACAGTTACTTCAATGAGCCATGCATCAATACGCCCCCTACCTTTGATGCTGATGAAGTTCATCTCCGTCTCAGTAGCCACCGCTCGAGCCAGCATCGTCTTAGAACATCCAGGAGGGCCGTAGAGTAGTATACCCCTCGGAGGTGCTACCCTAAGCAGGTGACTACCATCACCTCACCACCACCACTACTACTACTACTACCCCATTTCAGCAAACAAAGCACTGTGAGTCAACGGCCACACTACAGCTTCTATTAGCTTCTTCTTAACGTCCTCATAGCCTCCTATATCCGACCATCTCGTCCTCGCTACCTGATTATTAATACCACACTTCTTCCACAACCTATCAACAATTACCTCCACAATGAGCTCCTTCAGTGCACTAGGTTTGATGAACTTCAAAGCCTCCTGGACATGTCTCAACTCCACGCCCGCTGTCGAACCTTCGTTCATCGCCAGAGAACAAGCACGAGACAATAAGGCCTAGACAGATGCATAAAAGCGTCACGCGCCATAAAATTCGATCAACTACTTTCAAATCGGCCCCCACGAAACCGTGCGTTTTCCTCGCTATTTCGTCGATACTTGGCCGAAGTCGCTCTTGCACCGCTGGGGGGAAGTCCCGATGGAGAACCACTCTGAAACAGTTTTCTGCTGGTATCAACCATTTCGACGACCCCAGTCCCCCAAACAAAGGTGTGACCAGTCAGAGGTATCTTAGGTTCACTCTGGTAGGATACAGTCGAGGCCCCCCTGCATCTCTATTGACTTAATAGGCGTAGTTGCTAGAAGTGTTGGGGGTATACATGTTACCTTTCCTCAACTCAGTTCAGGAGTTTCCAAGGCTAATTATACAAGTTTACACACGAACTCGGGCAGAAGTGTACTAAAACCAAGAGTAAGAATCACCCAAAGTTTCCTCAGAATTCTCCTATTGCCACCAACACATGTAGTTGATCGTGTGCATACCTCCCTCCCCCCCCATCCTGGTTACTAGTACTCTATAATGTCCTTCCTCCCACTCTCGTCAGGGACACCCACTGAGACTTCAAGTTCGAATCGACCAGCTCGACGGGCTGCTGGATCGATGGCATTCGGCCTGTTGGTGGCGCCCAAAACGACCAAGGGGGGATTAGAACCTGCGCGGCAATAGGTACGCATCAACGCGGCAACATGACTATACCACTGAACCAAAGAGGACGTACCTTGGCTCATGAGGCCAGCTCCATCCATCTCCGTAAGCAAGGAGGCCACCATCCTCCTCTCTGCCTCGGTGCCCGAACTGTTCCCTCTACCCTCCCGATCGGGACAAACTGCATCAACTTCATCGATGAAGATCAGCGAAGCCAATCCAGAGTCACGACATCGCGCAAAGAGACTGAATATAAAGCAATTTAGTTGCATGGTAGTATCCAAGCTTCATCTTTGGACGACCCAAGTTCAATTCCCAAGTAGCATATTTTCTATCGATGATACACCCACAACTAGCCAAGACCCCATCACCTATGCACTGCCGCCTCTCCCTTCGTAGTAAGCTCAGTCGACTTCACCAACTCAACATGGATTGCCGTACCCGCTGCCTA